TGGACTGCAGTACTACAGTCTTCCAGCCACCTTCCACAGGTCTTGCTTGAAAACCCAGGGGGATTTAGGGGGTTTTCTTTCTTGAGGGACTTAGGGTTCGGAATTTGGGAGCTTGGAGCTTGGAGTTTAGGATTCGGGTTTGGACTTGTTTAGGGCTCGAGGATCTCGGGCCTCTTGGCTTCTCTTTCGAACAGAAAGCGATGAACCCTGAAGCCCCAGAAAGTCACAAAGCCGCAACCAGTTGGTGCACAATGTCCGCCACTTTTGACCACAAGCTTCTGACCAGAAACCCCAGAAAGCCCTGAAGCTCCAAAGCTCTAAACCCTAAAGCCCTAAATCTCGAAACCCGAGATGTCTTGAAGCTCGGGGAGCCCTAAAGCCTGCAAGGCTGAGAGTCCCGCTTTTAGTGGGTGCTTGGGGGTGTTCGACTCGAATGCTTGGGCTTTGGGATTTAGGGTACGTCTTTCACTACAGTCCAAAAGGGCGAGCCAAGGCTCTTGGAGTTTCATGGACAGACCCGAAGCGCCCTTTTTGCATCCAGGCTTGGGTGAGCGTGCCGGGAAAGAGCTCATGCTAAACGCGCTAAAGCCCAAAACCCAGAACTTGAGATGAAAACCTACTGTAGAAGCCCCACAAACCCAAGACCTAAAAGTTAAATCCTAATCCCTTTGTTCTAACCCTAAACCCTGAACCCTGGACCCTAAACCCTAAACCCGAAACCCTAAACCCCAAACCCCAAACCCTGAACGAGGCCCTCTTCTCCACCTTGCCTGTTGGCCTCCTTCAGCCGGCCCAGCCTAGCCAGGCAAGTTCTGAAAAGGGGGTTTAGGGTTTAGGGTTTAGGGTTTAGGGCTTTTTTTAGGGTTTAGGGTTTGGGGGGGTCATTATTGGGCTTTAGCTTAAGGCCCAACCGGGTTGAGACCTCTTTAGGGTTTATAGTTATAGGGCCAAACCTGGTTTGGGGTTTGGGGTTTAGGGCTTTCTCTTTTGGTGTGGTTTGTTTGTTGAGCAACCCGCCTAGCTGACTAGGTTGAGTCGCGCCGCAGGCTACTTAGGGTTCAGAGTTGAGGGTTTGGTTCGGGTTGAAAGGGAACTCGTGAGGTGTTTGGCAGCTCAGAAACTCGGCATCCAGAAGCCTCGCGCCTGAAGTTTTCATCCACGTTTTCTGAGGGGCTTAAAGCTTCTCTCTTGGATCTTGGCTTTGGCTTGCCTCCCCCAGAAAAACTAGAGTCCTTCTGCGTACCCGAGGGTTCCCACCCCTGGACCCCCCTCCCTCTTAAGCAACTGTCGGTGTACTTACATGGCAGCTTATATGGCACCCTTACATGTACTTGCAACTGCTTGTTGTAGGCACCTCCAAGCCGATTCACAGCCCAGCCCATTGCTATCCCGAAACCTTCTTGCCGCGCCCCATTGCATGCGGGCCATACTGTTTGACTTGCCATTGAGAATCCCCTGCAACCAGGTTAACCAAGTCCCGAAACTCGATCATTACCAGTACAATTGCAAAAGTTCGTGCCCCCTCTCAGAGAGGTTGAATCAATCAAGGGGGGCGATGCGGAGGGTTTAGATATGGGAAGTCGACATCAGGCAATAAGACCGCCGGATAAGAAGTTACATCGGACTCCACGGAATCTTCAACATCACGCCTGCCGTAGCCGGACCAGTGAGATCGAACGCTGCAACAAGCCCGTTCAGCATGTGTGTATACATATGAGCATGTGTGTATACATATATACATATCTTTATCTAACTCCAGCGCATTCTGTTCGCATGGACAAACATCTCTATATGCGCGAGGCAAGAACAGCTTTTACAGAGAGGTCTTTGCAAGGTTCGCGTTGAGTTAGGTCAAGCAGCATGCGGTGAACGTGCACGAGCAACTACGACAACAATTTGGCAGTATCACAACATAGAATGAGCCGCAAAGCCATCGCGGGAACCCAAGATCACGCAGCTGTGATGCGAGCTTTTGTTCAAGGCGGTTGCGTATTAACCCCACCAGCAAGACTTGGAATAGGCCTTATTAATGGGGGCTCATACGGCTTAGGATTTTCGATAAACCCTGAACCATAAGCCCTTAACACCAAACCCTAAACCTTAAACCCTAAACCCTAAACCCTAAACCCTAAACCCTAAACCCCTCCCCGGCCTCAGGCACACAGCACCCAGCTGTTGCAGAAGGACGCAGTGCTCCCAGGGCTCGGTGTGACCCGGGCGGCCCACATACTCCAAGGCCTGGAGGGTTGTTTAGGGTTTAGGGTCTAGGGTTTAGGGTTTGGGGTTTAGGGTTTGGGGTTTAGGGTTTAGGGTTTGGGGTTTAGGGCTTAGGGTTTTGCAAGGGTTTAGGGTGCAGGGCTTAGGGATGCACGAGGGGTGTCTTCTACAGGACAACAAAACGAGATGCGTCATTTGAGCTGATCCTTTGTTGGAGGGAGCATGAGAACCTAAGAGGAATATGGGCTATGTGATAGGCGTTGTGGGGGCAACACACTTTAAATCCTGTAGTCTGTCTGCGCGCATGCACGAAAATGACTAAACAAATCCGCCAACAAATCAAGCAACAAAGAAGATCATCGGAACAAGTACGCATGAGGACTATAAGAGAACAGTGTGTGGAATCCAATTGTATCCACGTTAAAGAGTGCGCCAGACACTGTGCTTCAGCCTCCAGTTGAAAGTCCAATGACGTTTGTCCGTATATCCTGATCCCTAAATTCGAAGACTGCGAATTGACCCTTTTGCCAGTCCCGGAACCCTTGTGCCACTACCCTAAACCCTAAACCCTAAACCCTAAATCCTACAGACCCTACAAACCCTAAAGCAGCATCTGTGTGAGGAGCTGGTGGACATCGCCCTCTAAAACCCAAGGCCGGTAATCCAAGGAGTCCTGGTCACCTGAAGGCCCAAGCGCGAACCCTACATAAGACCCTTTTATACCCCTTATAGGCCCCTGAACTACCCGTGTGCCAGTTCCGAAACCCTAAAACCCTATAAACCCTAAACCCTAAACCCTAAACCCTAAACCCTATCAAGCCCCCCCGGCCTTCTCGTAGCAGCCGACGGCCGCTGACTGCAGCTTGGGCTTCTCTTCCAAGGCCATCCCTGGCGCTTGCCACGAGCATCTTTTACAGGGTTCTTATATGGGAGGGTTAGGGTTTGGGGTTTAGGGTTTAGGCCCGGACTGCCCCGGTACGAGACGGTTTAGGGTTTAGGGTTTAGGGTTTAGGGTTTAGGGTTTAGGGTTTAGGGTTTAGGGTTTAGGGTTTAGGGCTTAGGGTTTAAACGTTTAGGGTTAGGGTTTAGGGTTCAGGGTTTCGGGTTTAGGGTTTCGGGAGGTTCATGGGTACTTATACGTAAGGTTTTAAGTATAGGGTATGCATGGCAATAAGGGGTTGAGTGTTGACAAGTTGAGGGAGTCTGGGGTAGGCTCAGGGGCTGATGGGGTCCCGATCCCTCATGGTTCTAGCTTCCGTAATTGGGGATTGCGTTTACACAGCACTAAGCCTCCAATCTTGTGTTGTCTCTTCGTTCCTGGAGCAAATCCATCGCCGTTGCCAGCGGCAAGTCTCAAGGCCTTTAACAGGTTTCAAACCCCGAAAGCCTCTATTGCACCGGGGACTTGTTGAACGGCCGCCTTCCCAAAGCGGGTCTTTTACCCTAAACCCTAAACCCTAAACCCTAGATAAACCGTAAACCCCAAACCGCCAACCTTAAATTAAACCGCTGTGGAGCCCGGCCTAGGCAAACGAAAGTCGCCGCTGGAGAGCCCACCACGGAAACCGCATCCTCGCTGGTGAGCATTGCCTCCCAAGGGTCTTTGTATATATATATATATATGTATGTGTGGTATTCCACTCATGTCAATCGTAGGGTAACAATATACGAATACTCCAGGTTTTGGTATGAGCGTTGCATCTTTGCACCGAAAACTGTTCTCTTACCATGATTGGTTGGTGTGGCTGGCTAGTGCACTGTTTAGAGGACACAGAAGTCCCTGATGACTGCCATTTCAGGCGGAGTCCTGGGCCATTGCCATGGTGGGGCCTCCATGTGGGCGAGGGCACGCTGCACGCCTTCCTCGTCTGGGACTTGCATGGTCGCCTGCAGGTGTCGCCAACATTTTGCGGCGTTCTGACAACCTCCTGGGATCCCACTATATGTCTGAATCTATGCATGTCCTGCACCACAACGGCGCAGGGCATCGCGCGCCCGACCTCCTAAACTGAGACAGGCTTTCACGCTGCATCCGGGATGCGCTGGAACCATCCCCTCGCGCCGACCTGGGGACTCACTTTGCCTGTTTTCCCTCATTTTGGATAACGGGTCTAAGGCTTGCGTTTACTCCATAACTACCCTAGGCGGTTGTCAAGCTCCACACTTTGGCTTGAGAGGGGTGGGGCAAAACCTTTGCACCTTACACCGCAAGGTCTGGAGGTCAAACACCCAAAAACCCTGACCACAAGCCCCTGAGGGGCCCTCATCAAGACAAAAGCACCAAACTCCCCAACCTTGTCAAGGCCCAAACCCTGCAAAAAAATCCCGGCACAAACGGCTACGGCAAAGCGTCGTGAGTCCGCCCCAACCCCCCCTAATTCTGTCAGGCTGTAGAAGTATCTAGCCATGGAAGGGGGAGCCCTGAACACCCTAAAACCTTAAACCCTAACCCTAAACCCCACACCGTAACCCTGAACCCTGACCCTAAACTGGCCTAAAACCCTAAACCGCAAAAAGCCCAGCAAAGCAGCTGCAGAAACAGCTCCACGAGCCGATCTGCATGCCCCGACATGGCGCCTGGGCGCACCTACCAGGAACCTCCGCTGTGGGAGCAGCTCGAGCCAGACTTTCTCGAGGTTCTTTTTGGTGCACGAGGGTTTCAGGGATAAAAGTAACCTTCGTCCTGTAACTCTTCCGGTCTCTGGAAGAAAGCCAGGAGCGCCGATGCAAGCCTAGAGCTGGACGGCTTAGCAATTTGCCCCAAGTCAGCGTAAGCAGATGGCCTGTGACGCGCAGCGCATCTCGGCGATGGCCTTCGAAGCTGTACCTAAGCTCGCGAAAACCCTCCAAGCCTTATCCTGGCACCCCCTGAACTTTGCAAACCCTTTGTGACACTTTGTGAGAAGCAGGGACTGAAGACTCTTGTAGGGACAGAGCAAACACAGACTCTATACCAGAGACCCTAAACCCTGGAATCGCCATACTTCCCCACAGTTCGACTGACATGAGGGGGTTGAAGGTTTAGAGGGCTTAGTTTAAGGTGGGTTTGAGAAACCCTTTGCGGTTCAGTTGGAGGCGACAAAAGAAAGCAAAAACCTGCAAAACAAGCTTGCGCGCTTTTTGGGGATCCAGGGTTTCAGGGCCGCTCTCCACCTGAAAAGTGAAGACCCCGAGCCCGCAATACCCTGAAGACCCCGGGGACGCCTGCGGTCGCATGACGGCTGGGCCTCCGACTGCTTACAGCTTCGTCTGGTATCTCAAGGGCCTGGTCTTGCCGGCCCCCCGGTGACAGGATCACCCAATGACCCCTCAACCCCCCCAGGCTTCAACAAAGACGACAGCATCTCATTGGTAAGCAGGGATCAAAGTAGGATGACTATTAGAACCATCTTATTCTTGTGAGGGGGGGTGATGTTATTTTTTTGGGTGGGGGGGGGGTGGGTTGGGGCACCTGCAAACCCTGCCTGCTTTCGCTGCCCATGAACCAAACCCCTAACCCCCCAACAAAAACTAAACCCCTATGAGCACTGCTGCATCAAACCCTAGAGCCCTCAACCCTAAACCCCTAAAAACCTCCCAAACCTTAAAACCTCCAAACCCTGACCCCTAAACCCTATATAAACCCTATAACCCTAAAACCCCCAAACCCTGAACCCTATAACCCTATATAAACCCTATAGCCCTATATAAACCCTATACAAACCCTATATAAACCCTATATAAACCCTATAACCCTCACACCTTCTAACCCTCCCAAAGTCCCGCCTCCATGCAAAGAGGGAAGCCGCCATTCTCGATGATGCGCCGGGCCCCAGCCTGAAACGAGCGAATCTCAGGGTTTTGAGGGTTTAGGGTTTTAGGGGTGTAGGGTTTAGGGTTTAGGGTTTAGGGGGTCCACGGGACTTGCGACTTGGCCTTTCTCGGGCCCAAGGGCTCGGGCGTAGGCTTTGTCGGGTCTTGGGGACACCCCGGACGCGCTGCGGGAGGGGCAGCGCACTGGCGACAAGGTTCTGGAGCGCTAAGGGTTAGAGAGTACATAATAATGATGAGAATAACAAAAATAGTGTATTATCAAAATTATTCTGATTAGTATTAAACTATCAAAGGGCTCTGTTGCTATCTCCCCAACTGAGGAGGGACAGAGCATCCCACTTCAGGAGGCCAAGAAAGTAATCCAACCGCGGGTCATGCTACGGGCACACCACCTCGATTACGGTTAGTCTTGACATTCGGGTTTCGGGTAGCACACAGCCGGCCATAAGCCCAGTCTTGACAAAGGGGGCAAACATGCCAGCACACCACGCAACTCGTCATTGCAAGTGCTGGTCTTCGGGAATGCGGCTGTGGAGTGCTAGGGCGGTTCCTGCATCTCTTGTAATAGCACAGGCCTGGAAGATAGGTGAGAGAACTACATAACCACAGACCCCCCTAAACCCTGAACCCATAAATCCATGAGGGCTTATAGTAGAGTTTCATGGAGATTCGGGGGTCCCCCCAACAGCTCCCAAGGAGGGAACTTCCAGGTTTGAGGGCCAGACTGCGATTCAGGGTTTAGGGTTTATAGGGTTTAGAAATCTAGGGTTTAGGGTTAGGCTTTAGGGTTAGGTGTCGTAATAGGGAGAGCTGGGGACAGCCCTCAACCCTAGACCCTAAAAGCACCCCTCATGGGCCCATGACCGGGTTCTTGTGCGCGACGGCCCGCAACGCACCGCAAGCTTCTCGCCAAACCTGGATACAGGGATTAGGTTTAAGGCTTTCGTTCCACACTTGGGGTGTTATGAGAAGAGCTAGCCGTGAGAAAATGGAAAAAAGGGTAGCCACTTAGGGTATTAGTGTACGTGTTCGCCGGTAAGTGCTCGAGGCAAGGCATCTGTCCGACAGTCTGAGAAAAAGACACAGCTCATTTCGCTACCCCAAACCTGTTATACCAAAAATAAAAAAAGTCGCACGATATCACACGCTCCCTTGATTGGTGCCCGGATGGCCCTTCATGCCTCTTGACTACGCGCCCAGCTGTGCAAACCCAATGCACAGCTGGAAAAATATAAGTAAAAACACGATTCTCGCTCCGTGAGTTGGCGGGGTCCCATTCCGGTGCCTCTCCCTTCCGACTCCTCTTCCACACAGGCCACTTTCGGACTGCGATAAACGAAACATTTTCACATCAACATAATAATTTGTATTTGATCTTTGTAGATTTACAGACAACTTACCTGCTGCGTTCCAAGGCCTGGGCAACCAAACAAGTGCCCAGACTTTGAGGTCAAGCCCCGGGCTGTTTACATTAAGATGGGGCAAAGGCTTTCAGGGATTTAGGGCTTCCGGGGTTTTGTGATTTGCGGCTTTAAGGCTGTAGGGGCTTTAGTAGCGTGAATCATACCAGGGACTTCTAGGGCAGCATCAGCGATGTCCCAACTGCTTTTGGTGCAACCACGATCTACCTCTGATTGTGGACCCTGGATCCACACCCTGAACCCTAAACCCGAAATGACACAAGAGAGCGAGCCCTTAAGCACATTTCGCCCAAGCACTCCCTCTCTGCGCCTTCCACCCCCCCCCCCGCCCGCCCCACGTCCGTCCTGCCTCGATGTCCTCTGCGTGATTCCTGCTTTGCAGCGTTTAGGACTTCAGGACTAGGGTCCAGGGCACTGCCTGACTCAACAAGACATGAGATTTCCCAAAGTCGAGAGCTTGGGGGACCTTTTGGCCAGCAAGGCCCGCAACTGTCTGAACTTGGGGTTGCTGAAAGGAAGGGTGGGTTGTTCTGTCCCCTCAGTCCTCAACAGATCCCTTGAACCCCTGGAGCCCTCCACCCCAAGACCCGGAACCATGGACCAAAAGCAAACCGAAGACTTCCGCCGACTCCCAACCCCCCCCGCCTTCCCCCCAACAAAAACGCCTTAAGCCCAAGAAACCATCGAACTCTATACACCCACCCCACCCCCCACCCCCCACCCCCCAAGAAACAAAACAAAACTTCAAACGTCTCAAGCGGTACAACGGTGTGAGCCCTAAACTTCCCCAAGCCCTGCAAAGCGATCCCCGTGACGCCGCCTCATCGCAGCCAGAATCGACTCCGGCGCCCCGAGCCGCGTCACGAGGAGGCGCCGATTCTTGCCAGCGAGCCTTGGGCTTAGGGCTTCGGGCTTAAACCCTGAACCCTGAACCCTGAACCCTAAACCCCCAAACCCTAAACCCTAAACCCTAAACCCTAAACCCTAAACCCCAAAGCCTAAACCCTAAACCCCTTAGGGCCTCGGCCTCAAGGTTTCGGACCAAAGGGCGTTGAGGGGGTTCAGGGTCTTTTTGGGGCTTTGCAGGGGCTGTGAGAATTGCAGGGTGCAAGGGTTGCTAGGGCTTTGGGGGTTGAGTGTTGAGTGTTTAGGGTTTAGGGTTTAGGGATACATTCATGCCAACCACCGAGCACAATGTCAAGCAGTGAGAACCCTCAACCCAAACTGCAAGCCCTAACCACAGACACACCCGAATCCCACACCAGGCCCACTGAGCACGCTGAGGTCATGGACGGATGTCCGGTGCAAAGGAGTTTCAAAGCACCTCCACATCAACATCCGGCTACGGGCTTTCGAAGGGCTCATAACCCTAAGACCCTAAAAACCCTCGACGGCTCTACCGTGAACCGGAAACCTGAAAACCTTAGCTTCGTTAGACTGGGCCAAGGGTTTAGGGTTTAGTTTTTAGGGTTTTAGGGGGCTGGGTGTCATTTTCCGAATCAGGTCCCGACATGCCCGCCGTCGCAGCTTCAAGCGAACATATACGTGGAATAAGAAACTCAGCCCGTAGATCCGGGGATTTTGGACGTCTTGGACCTTTTTTGGCAGAAACTTCAAGTACCCTAGTGTGTGTCTCTCTGTGTGTGGGTGTGTGTGTATGTGTGGGGGGGGGGGGGGGGGCAGTTTCCTGAAACTGCGTTAAGGCGACTCGCCAAGTGCCATGTACATCTTCGCGGCGAACTCTTGATTCAATTTTTTTGGAACCGACCCTGTCTGTAACCCTTTCCAGGCCCCACAAAAGAACCCTCAAGCATGCTACAGAACATCGGTTGGCGAATGTCTCTGTGTCTATGGCCCTCTGAGTTTGCTTGTGTGTGTGTGGATGTGGCCGCAGTGGCACACTGCACTCTCTTAAGAAACCCTTTTGATTAAGAAACCTACAGCACAGTACCCTAGCTCAAAAACCGCAGGTACATGGGGCAAAGTAAGCCAAAAACTTAAGGTACCCTTCCGCCGGAAAACCGCTTGCTGGTACAACTTCTTCACCGTACCCTAAGCCCCCTTTTTCTGGTGCTGAACCGTATACTTATACCTGCTTTCAAACTTCAAGCCCACCCCCCAAGAACCTTCTACCCTAAGCCCGAAACCCTAAACCCTAAACCCCAAGCAGCTCTGTCATCCCAGGAGGCCTCAAGGCAAACCCCGGAGAGGCCTTTTGCAAACCCCGAAAAGCCCGAAAGACCCCTAAACGCCCACGAGGGCAAAGAGATCAGCAATTCCTTGAAACACCCCCTAAACCCTAAACCCTAAACCCGAAACGCGTTTTACGGCTCGGACTGCTGCACTGCCTGAAGCCTAAACCCTTTTGCAACTGCTTGGTAAACCCTAAACCCTAAACCCTGTAAGCCCTGAACCCTAAACCCTAAACCCGGGCACCGCAGCCGGCAGCTTGCAACTCCGCGTTGGTGCTGTGGAAAGCTAAGGCCTGGCAGGGCTTAGGGTTTTAGGGTTTTAGGGTTTAGGGTTTAGGGGTTCGGGGTTTAGGGTTTAGGGTTTAGGGGTTTCGGGGTTTAGGGGTTTAGGGGCTTAGGGGTTTAGGGTTTAGGGTTTAGGGCGGTATCCAAGCCTTGGCCACAAGCTCAACTGCCCCGCAATCAGTGAGCTTCTCCCGGTGCTCCGGCTTTAGTGCCAGAGTCCAGACCTGGAGACTCCGTGCTTGCGTAGAGGGTTCAGGGTTTCGGGTTTAGGGTTTATAGGGCTTACTTGGAGGTTCATGGTGCAGTTATAACTGTACATATACCTGTACTTATAACCATGTTAGGGCACTTAAAGGGCTTAAGTGGGTTCTCAGTACAGTTATAACTGGTTATAACAAGTACCATGAACCTCCAAGTAGGATCCAGGGGTCAGGGTTTAGGGTTTAGGGTTGAGGGCTTTTGGGGAGTTTTTCTCGCCCGCCCAACGCTCTCGCGCACTGCAACAACTGTTTAGGGTTGACAGTTTT